ATATATCCCTCCAATATAAACATTTAAAAACATTTGAAAGTGTAGCGACAACAGATGGAGATTACATTTTGTCGTCGCTGCAGGACTTTTACATTGGAACACACCGTGCGATCGGGATTCAGGCTCGTTAAGGTTTCTAAATGTCAGATTGGATTTTAAGATTTGTACGGCAGTGGAAGTTTCGTGAGAAAAAAGGGCAAAGAAAATCTTTTTTCATTCCATTTCCTCATCGTGTTTTAATGTTTGTTTTTGTGTCCAGCTTCTTAGTCTGGAAGTCTAACACTCAAAATGACCTGTAGCAAAAACAGAAGAGCGCTGAGTCTGCAGCAGCCTCCACCAATGAAACGTTGAATGAAATGATTAAACTCAACTGAAACCACATCAGTTCATTCTTATTTATATTTTCTCACTCTGGTTTCAGATCTGTGCGTGATGTTGGTTTGTTAATTGTGGTGATTTGTCACTTTGCCGTTTTATATCATTGTCCAAACCCAAAACATATTTCTGGCTCATTTTTTCACATTACATTTTAACTTTAATTCAACTTATTACTTCATTTTATTTATCTGTTGACGTAAAGACATCTCTCCTGTCACTCACGAAGCTGCTTCGTCTCAGAACAATGTATTGAAAAAGCCTCTGTGTTTCATAATTGTTTAGAGTGGAACAGATATGAACTGATAATGAGGAGTTGTCGGTGAAACTTGGAAACATGTTTCGGTGAGTCTGTGGATCAGGGTCAGTGATTGTTTCTGTGCTGCTCTGCAGGGCTGTGCCTCCTGGAAGTGGTACTTCCCCTTCCATTATGCCCCGTTCGCCTCCGACTTCAAAGACATCAAAGACATGTTCACCGATTTCGAGAAGGACACGAAACCGGTAAGAAGACCGCCTCTCTCTTCACTGCCTGTTTCTCTTCTTCTCTTTCTTCGTCTCTTCACATTGAAGGTTTGGTGTTTGTTTGTTTTTGATTTTTCAAAACATACTGAAGGTGTTGCACCCGTTCGTTCACTTGACTTCAGGTCGTTTAGTGTCATGAAGCCATGACAGCTGAAAACCTTCAGGATAGAGAGATCACAACAGAATCTTTATATGTAAAGGATCGACTGGTGAAGTTAAAAAGAGTTTATCGCATCGACAGATGATTCAGGATATTCTGAAGTAATAATCTTTTCACATCACATCAAATCTGCTGTTTATTTAATTATTCTTTTTGATTTAGGTTTTATTCTTGACGTGAGTGTGTTAATAACTCGTGTTGTTTATCTGCAGTTTAAGCCACTGGAGCAACTGATGGGAGTGTTTCCTGCTGCCAGCGGCAACTTCCTGCCTCTAACATGGCGGAGTCTTATGAGCAACCCGGTAAGAAAGATGATGTGCAGAAAGATATCTCTTGTAAAAGTCTTAAAGGTCTATTAAATGGATCAGATCTGCAAAGAATCTGATACACAATTAAAGTAAGATTTTTAAAAAACGGATCATTTACTAACTTCTCCAAAGTCAAATAAGCTCCTCATCTTCTTCCAAGTCAACTCTTCATCTTCTTTTAAACTCTTCTTTTGACACAGGATTCTTCCATCATCGATTTCTACCCCGACGACTTTGCCATCGATCTCAACGGCAAGAAATACGCTTGGCAAGGTGAGTCTCCGTCCTGCTGAATGATTCCAGAGCTGGGTCAAGATACTAGTGACTGACGTTTGGGGGAACTGTTGTTTCTCTATAGAACGAATGTCAGGTCTTGACCTTCTACGTAAAGTGTCTTGAGATAATGTGTATTGTGATTTGGCGCTATTCAAATAAAGTTTAATTTTCAAGGTGTGGCCTTGTTACCTTTTGTGGACGAACGTCGGTTGAGGGCGGCTCTGGCTGACGTCTACCCGGACCTCACACCTGAGGAAGGTGAGCAGCACTGAGCCGACATCATAAGAGACATGATCCAATTTGTTTTTCAGTCTTTTCTCTTCCTTTGTTTGAAGGTCACTCATCTTTCCTTTCCAGTGAACTGTATAAATTCTTCTCATCGCTGTCTCTTCTCTGTTGCAGTGAAAAGAAACAGCCTGGGAAGCGACGTGTTGTTTCTCAGCAAATCTCACCCGCTCTTCGACTTCATCCACGAACTTTACCGCACAGAAGCTCGGGAGGTAACAAGACTCCAACGCATTAGATCCAGAACATTCTCACATTGAACACACACACACACACACACACACACACACACACACACACACACACACACACACACACACACACACACAGTCAGCTGCTTTGTCAACACTTTTCTGTAATAAGTTTTCTTTTGTGGTTCTTTGAGATTCTGGTGAAAACATCTGCATCACTCGCTCTGTCACTCTGCTGCAGATGTGTCCTGTGCTTTCGCAGGTGTTGTCTCAGTTGGATTTTGTCGTGTTGATTATGCATCTGTGAAGTGTTTGATGTTTATTTTTACTCGCTGGGTAAAAACTTTGTAATAATCGAAAAGCATCAGATCGACAGCAGGAAGTAAATCTTCCAACATTTCAGATTTGAGTCAACTTTTACTACTTTCACTTCAAAAAAAGAAATCACTAATATTATGAGGTGCAACAACAATTATCTGTCACCATGTCGCACTGGATCCAGACTGTAGCTCTGTCTCCTTCAGGGCACTGAGATCCCTGCAGAGCTGTGTCATGGAATCCAAGGTGAATTAAATCTTGATGACAACCCGATTCTACCAGATAAGTAAGAAACGCCTCTTTATTCTCTTTGTTTTACAATTTCTCTCAATGTTTTCAACAAACTTATTTAACAGACTTATTTCTTCATATTTATTCTCCAGCATAGTGACGTCGCCCATCCCGATGCTGCGGGACATTTCACAGAACAGTTCAATCGGGTAAGAACTGTCGATCTGTCAGACTGTAAATAAAGATGGACGACACAGCTCCCAAATCTAAAGGCAAACCCTCATGATCACCCCCTGGTGGCTGGCTGCTGTATAGGTCTTAAACACAGCCTTCTCCATGTTAGCGGACATGGACCAAACAAATAAAAGTACACATTAAATACATTTTTCTGAAAGATGCTTTCTGTCATTGAAGGTAGTTCTTATCACATAAATATATATTATATTATTATATTATATTATAAAGGTGTTATAAAAACATTAAAGTACAAGATGGTGACACGTGTAACATGATCTTAAATTGATTGTCAAAGAAAATGTAAAACATTCTTAAACTGTTATACATTTATTGCCTTTTTTAATTTAAATATATATCAATGTTTTTTTCCACATGTTTAATCTTGACTGATCAGTAAAGGAATAATTGTAAATGTATTTCAGTGTACGACTGAGCATCATTGCCATTTCAAGCTCGTTGCTGAGTTTAATTATCTTAATTATTTAATGAATCTTTTATTCACACAATCTGCAGATTTAGTCTCAGCCGACAAATTGTAAATAAACATAACAAACCTCCACATGCAGCTTAAATAACAGTGCAGGGGGTTGACTGAATAATAAATATACACATACATGTAATTTATGTAAACAAACTATTCCAGTCACTGATACAGTCTCATTCATGCTTTCACCGTGCAGCTGCAGAGCAGATTAGTTTTACACACATTCGGCATCGTGCTGTGTATCTTTCATCACAACACCAGTGTTCAGTTTTCTGAGGCTGATGAGATGTTCAGGAACATGTAGAAACCACCGCCCTCATCTCAGAACAGTCCACGAGGCTAAACATCTCAAACTTAGGACCTCTGTGTGGCAGGGGAGATTTTTCCCCTCTTAACTGTCTTTTTATTTAAAACACGTGAGCTAATAAAACTCTTGACTCACTGAAAATGAATTTCCTCTTGTTTCCAGAGTGAAGTACAAGGACCCGCAGTTCGCAGATGGCTTCGTGTTCAAGGCGGTCCTCCTGCCTGAAGCCAAGTGAGAGATTTTTCCTGCTTATCTCAAAAAAGCTTCTTGAAACATTTAAGACTTCTTACTTTCAGGTTTTTTTTACACTCTTCATCATTATAGGAGCAGTTTAGGTTTATTGTTGTTCTGTTGTTTTCCTGTCTGTCCAACATTAAATGCCCCAAAAGACAAAATAATAACCACTGAGTGTGACCCACAATGATTTCATTATTGAAACTGCTCTTTTTATATAAAGTCTTCTGATATGAGATTTATAATCAGTGATTATTCACTAGATTGCCAGCCTTCAGTTTGTGCACAACCAACTTTAACTGTGATTATGTTTGCTGCTCCTCAGGCTCCCCAACAAGGTCCTGAAACCAGGCGACTGGGAGAGAGGGAACAGGGAACCGTGGCGACCGCAGCTCGGCTTCAACCCAAACAGGCATCAGGCTCACCTGGACCAGTCGTCCTTCAGAGCTCTGGGGTGAGTTTATTCATCTGCGTTTACTATAACAACCATTAGAACACAGAAGATTCATATCTTTGCACACACAGGGTCTGAATTTCTGTTGTTAATCTCAGACTAGTTAAGATGCAGAGTGAGTAAATTGTTTCAGTGTTGTAGTTTAATTGGTCTCTGCATCGACTTGAATAAAGAATCATCTCCAACACAAACAATCTGTAAATATTGAAATTACTTCCTTTGTCACGTCACCAGCCTCATGTTATGTTTTATTTTGAAAGTCACAGAAGGTGGCAGGTCTGTTGCTCTTAACGTACGTGATTTTTTTTCATTTGGATCAAAAGACAAACGTCTAAAACTCAACAAACACACACATTCATGGCTTCAGAGGATTACATTGACTTGCATTAGAGACACAATCGGTCCAACCTGTAAAAATGACTCATACATGTATGAAAAGGCCCAAACGAACACTGTAAGCATCGCTCCCCCGCCTGATTCTCGGCCAAGAAAAACCCTGAGGTTCTGGTGAAGAATTTAAAAATGTGTTTAAATGTTTGATCCCTCCCCCCCAACGTTCCCCATTAACCAGCCGTCCTTGATTATGATCGGAGCTCTCTCCTCCACACATTGATATTATCATTAAGGAAATGTGAATAATTGAACATCTGGCTCCGTCCGACTGTAGCGTGTTGGGGAATTAATTATGCACAGATTTGAAAGAACGCAACAAATTCCAATTTATTTCTTTTTCTCCTGATAAACCAAGTCGGATCAGTAAATCAGGCAGTTATGTGCCTTGATGGGGCCAAACAGGCAGCTGCTGGGAGGACGGTGAGCACACAATCCTGGAGGAAATTGTTGAGCAGATTGTTTTTTTTGGTTTTGATTTTAAATCAAATAGCATGTGTTGTACAGAGCGTTAGGGCCGCAGCCTGATTACTGCTACACAAAATAGTGTAGATTCTATCATCTAGCTGCAGGACTGACGTAAGTTGAGCTGTTCTGGTTATTAATCATTTAAGGGAGTTTATGACGATGGGAATGTTGCTGCAGTTTTGTGTTTTTCTAGTAATAACTGACGCCTGATCAATCTGATGTCTCCAGATTCTTAGAAAATCTTAAATGACACAACAATGGTCGCAAAATTGGGTCTGGACATTTTATAGACAGTTTCACGTGTGAAGCAGCAGATCGTCCGACTCGTTCACAACAACGGGACGTGTGGGGAACATTCAAGCGAGGGGTGGAGCCTGTAGAGCAGCAGGAGGCGGGACATGACTAAATAATAGTAACGGACTTCACTTCATGTCCGAACTGTAGATCATTTAAAACCAGAGTTTACCTCCATCATTCAGCAGGAAACCTTTAAAAAAATATATAGAATTCTAAACAGATTTTAGTGGATTTAGTCCAGCAACAGCTCGTCTGGTTCAGGAAGCAGAGGATCATGGGTAATGTCCAGTGTTCATGAAAACCACTTCATCACTGGGACATGGAGACCGACAGAGTTAATCACCACGTGTGGCTGCAGAAGGCGCTGTTGCTCAGTAACAGTTACATGATGTTGCTTTAATATTTTATTCTTAACGTTCATTGTTTGTTCCTAAATTAGCAACAAGCTAATTGAAAAATGTATTTATTAAGCCTTGAGCACTCCGACGCTCATCATCAGGACAGTGAGGATGCGACTTGATTGAATCAACTTTAATCCCCTTTTGATTGAAATAGTAAATATTGATTTGCGCTCGGAGGAATAACAGAAGACAGTTAACGAATATGAAACAAACAAAACTCTTCTCAAGAGAAGGTCGATACCGTCAGTTGTCTTAAGTGTTCTGAAGTCGCTCTGTTCCAATGACTCCTCTACCCTGACGACTTCTCAGAGGTAATGAGCATGGTTGTACACAAACATTAGATTTTACAGCTCAGCTTCTTGTCTCCCTGCAGTCACAGCCTGAACAGAAACCAGCGCGGTGGAGGACAGTACAGCAGCGCGCCGCCACCCAACAGCTACCAGCGAGGAAACTACCGTCCCCCACACAGCGGCGGCCACCAGCCTTTCCAACGTAAGAACACACACACGAGGCCACATCCACACTAATATGTTGAATACAAGAGTGTCTGGCTTTGTACTGGCCTGGTGGTTAATTCACGTTCCATAGAACCATGATACCTGCTGGTTCAGTTACCGGGGGGGTTGTTTGTGATGTTGTCGCCCTCACGCTCCCACAGCATCAGATGAAAGCAAAGCACCCTCACGACTTGACTCTTTTGAAGTGTCATATTTGAGATTTGGTGTTTTTATTCCCCCCCCCTCCCCCGTGTCCTCCGCTATCTGAGCGCTGTAACAAAAGGCTTTTGTCGACATTAACAATCGCAGCCACACGCTGTTGACACCTCACTTCATTTCATCTCAGTTCACCAACAAACCCAGAGGTGAAAAAGAAACGAGATGAAAGTTTTGTTTAAAAAGTAAGTGGACGTACTCACGACGAACTGTCACGTTCAAGGTCACAGAGGAAGCGTGATTCAACGCTGTAACCTCGTGCTGAACAATGCTGCTCGTAACATCAGTCCTCTTAGATTCAACGTTCCATTCATGAGGTAGAAGGACATTTTCAATAAGAAACTGTGAAGCAACAGAAAAGTCACCGTGAACCTCCGGTGTCCTTTGGATAACGTCTCAAAGTATTTTTTGCTTCCAAATACCACAGAAACCCAAATACATTGACGTGACATGTTGTTGCATCGTATATGTTGGACTCTCGCAATTGTTCATCCACTTAGATTTGTCTTTATTCCTCAATGACCCTGGAGGAAGCACAGGGACGCCGTCAAAAGAGAAAATACGACGAGCGGTTTTTGTTCTGCCTTGAAGAGCTAATCCAGTGTCATATAGAATAAAGTGAATTAATAAAGAATAAAACATTTTAACAGTTGCTTCTACAATCAAACTCAGGAGGATCTATGAGCCCTGTTGTATTTACAAGGTCGAATCCTCCAGATCAAACAGATGACTTATTATCTTCAAATTAACTTCTCTCAACGTTTTGTATGAAGTGAAACTTAGAGACAGTTTTACAGTTTGGTCTTTACCATCGGCCGTCGTGTTTGTAGATATGCTTCAACCGTAGACTGAATATAAACATGGACGTAGACTCCGGGTCCAGAAAGTGAAGCCAATGTCGAACTTCCTTAAAATCAGCAGGGGGCGACTCCACTGGTAGTTTGACTCCACCTCTCACTTTATCACGTCAGTAAACTTTGTCCTCAGGAGTTAATGTCTCTAGTGTCAAGTCTTCTTCAAACAGCTGATGTTCATTTATCAATGAAGATCATTTAGAGTCAAACGGACCAGAAAGAACCAGATGTGTTGGGGGGTGGATACCACAGTGTGATTGACAGCTAGTACCGTCCAGTGGGTGCAGGTGTAGGTGGGCGTCGGTTACTAAGATGGCGCTGGAGAAAATGTCAAAGTAACGGCAGCTAACAAACCAGTGGATCACGTGACGGAGGGTTGATGAACAATTATCATCACCTGCTGCTAATGTTCTCACATTGATTGTTCCATTTACAAAAGAAGACGAAATTAAATTAAAGTAAAACGTAAATTTCTGTTTTATATGATTCCAAAGTTTGTGTGTTCATGATGCGTCCATGGTTTGAACGACTCGTCACACACGGAGGTAGAATCTCTCTCCCAGCTCCTCATCACGCTCTGCTCAGCCTCCTGCTCCTCTGCCAGCTCTCCTCCAGTTTGACTTTCATGTGCCAATTTGCAAGCAGATGAATAATCTCTTCTACCCGCTGATGGCGTGCGGGGGAGTCGTGGCCACTGTGGTGGCACTTGATGCAAATGGGGGCTGGGGGCTCCTCCAGATTGCAGCAGCACCTCCCCTGGCCTCTGCCGCTCGTTCTTAATGTTAAACTTGCCAATTAGTCGTTCAGGACGTTCTCTTTTTTAATCTCACTCGCTCTGTGTTTTTCCCACCGTTCATGAGGAAGTAGTTATTTTAATAAATGGGAATCAGTGCAAATCTCCAACGTGGCCCAGCTGTGATTCTCCGCCTGGTGACAGAGGATGATTTTTATTTGATCAACTCAAGTACCTGGAACAGAAACGTGTCAGTGTCTCAGTTATCGTTGATATTTTGATTTGATTTCTGATGATTTCTGTCCATTTAAAGTTCTGAACCTTGGACTTGTTCCATCAGTGACGACTGTCGAGAGCTCAGTTTTGGTTTAAATGAAAATTTATCTGGGAAAATTATTCAACATTTGAACAAAATGGGTTTAACATTGACCGACTTTAATTTTGTGATTATCAGGAGAAGTCGGCCTCCTCCTGCTGCAGGAGGCCTGAGACTTCGCTTTTGTCCACATTGCACTTTCTCAGGGCCGGTCCTCTGCTCGGTCAGTAATCACCTCAGGCTTTGCTGCTCTGGGCTTTTGTGATTTTTGTAGCGGGGGGGGGGGTTGGTTGCTGATTAGCATTGTGGGAGACCGAAGCCGGTAATGAGACTGTCGAGTGGCTCCGCTGGACACAGTGGCCCCTCTGATGAAAGCGTCCGGGAAGATCCCATTTGATTGGGTGTGTGATGCGCTCTGAAGAGGGTTGAAACCAAAGTTAACTTTGTCCTTTGACGGCGCAGCTACCTCCTGCGGTGATGTGTCAACACGCTGCCTCAGAAACACGCTGCGGGGCTTTGTGCGCCGAGGCCGGACCAGCTGGTGTTTAATAACCAGCCGGGAGTCTCTGCTGGTGGCCATTATTGTCTTTACACGCAGTGACACCAAATTTTAACCAGGGCAGCAAAGTAACGGTTCGGTGCCACGACCACAGTGGTTGATAAGCCTCAAAGTCTTCAGCCACTTGAGAGTAACAACTGCACATAACACACTGACTGACTGATGAGGACGCGTCACACACGTCGTCTCAGTGACAACAACATATTTTACCTCTCTGCCGTCAAATGTCTTATTCACAGTATTTACATGTTTAAAAGTGAAATCATGTTCTGATCAAGAGACGGTTGTTGTTCTTTCTCACAGCAGATTCATTCACAGGTGGTTTAGTTTCACTTTGCTTGTTCAGTGTGAAAACTTTCAAACTGATTTAATCTCAGAAAATACTTTAAATGGCGTAAAGAAGGTTTTAAAACAACCATAAGTCAGTCGCTCGTTATCAACGAGCTCCAGACTGATTCATCGGATATGAGTCGTTCAGTATCAACGTTTGTTTGTCGATATTTAAACTTTTATTTTACAGAATAAAAAATGCTCATTATTATTATATTTCAAGAAAAGGTTGTCTGAAGATTTCTTTACCAAACTGAATCTGTCTACAACATTTAATCCTCTGTCACAGTCGTAGCTCTTTTTTTAATTCGGTCATTGTTTTTATAAATGCAGAGTTCTCGTAGAATTCTCCTGCTGGTTATTTATGAGGTTAAACTTCGATGCCTTTAAAAAGTTTGGCTGAAATGAAACCGACTGAACAAAGAAAGGCTCTGATTAATTTCAAAGATCTGAACCTTTTCTAAAATTGATTATTGATTTGTGAGTCACGAGAAGCGTTGGAAGCTGATGAAGTTTTGTTGGTCGTCTTTGTCCAGCAGACAGAGGACGTACTGTCCTGCCTCTGTTGTCGGACCTGAGCCGACTGGACGGGAGCTGAGTCAAATAGTCGCTGAACTAATTGAAAAGAGGTGGAGAGAGACGTTTAGTTGTTTGTAATCCAGGCGTTAATACAGTGGACACAGCGTCTTTTAAGGATTTAAAGCGTAATCCTTTGTTGGCTTTTGTCCGGCGCAGACTGGAGGTCTATACACTTTCAGATCATTGTTAATTAAGGAGATTGACAGGTGTCCACTTGTAATTCTGTCTTTTGAGTCATTGCTGCCGACGAGGAAAAGAAGACCAGAACGTTGCAGAGTTATAATTGGAGCCCGACTGGGTGGTCCACTTAAAGTTTGTTGGCAGAGGAGATAATCAAACATGAAAACTGAATGACAAAAACAAAATGATAATGTGGCGACAGCAGTCTGCCTGCTGGATGCTAAGTGTGTGATTTTAGTCGTTTCAGCAGAAAGCTACTGGAATATTTCCCTCTTGACTTCCTGCTACTTTTTAAATGTTTAGTTTGATCGTGTGTTTTAATGATTGTTAGTTTGAAAATGATTCTGAAAAGTCCTCGAGCATCTCATAAATAGGTTTCCTATATTAATAATGTGATAAATGTAGAATCTTTTATCAGTTGGTTCGACTTGATGGATTCTCCTGATCTTTGGTCTTAAGATTAAATTACTCAATAACAACATTTGATGTAAATTAAGAGATCGACATTAATATAGAGATTTTCTCTTTTTTAATTTGCTAATGCTAACGAGCAACGAATAAACACATCGAAGGAAGAATTTACAAATGACAGACGTCAGCACAGACGATATGTTCTCAGTTATAATCCAAGAATAAACTTTGTTAATTTGTGGAAATAGAATTGATCAGGTTTTGTGTTTGTTATGTTGTTATATTAGCGTGTTAGCCGTGTCTGTTCTGAACCTGCCTGTTTGACCGGTGATGACTCACAGTTGCTGCTGCTGCGGAGCGTCGGTCCCGTTTATTTAATTCAAGTTTATTAGTATTGAACGCATCATGTGTCCAAATCGCTCCAGATTCCAAACTGTACAAGTCTGGACCCTCGATACACGTGAGTCGTGAGATGAGAGCGGTTCTCCAGATATGGACGACAGTTACAGAGAGAGATTCTTGATTTATTAGTAGAGACACTGATCCACAATTATTATTATTATTTCCTCCTCAGAAATCCAGAATCCATGTTGTTGAACTCCTTCAGTCTAAAACCCAAAGATAAAGAAAACCAATAAATATTTTATTCGAGAACCTGCAACAAATTTTCATCAATTTCCAAAATATTTCTCAGTTTAATCAATAAATTGACTCTTTAATGATAAAAATCATTATTTCATGAGCTGCTGTGAATTCTTCCTGGTTTTTAAATCACATTTTCACTCCAGCGTCTCGTCAGGTTTGTTGATATGAACCTCCAGGTCCTTTTCACGTCACCCTTCACCCACCCTGAGCCCAGCCACTCAGCGGGCCTGCCCCTATAAACAAACAAGTCCGCAGCTCGCAGCTGGTCATCGCCTTGGCAACAGTGAATCTGGAAGAAGCTGTTCGCTCCTCTCTTTTTTTATTTTTTTTTTAAGTGTGTCTTTGTGAAGGGCTCGCAGCGATGGAACCGCGGTACTTGAGGCGTCCACAATGCTGCCGGCTGAATGCTTATTTCATTTTCTGAACAAAAATGCAAATGTGGCGCTGCCGCTCTCTGCGTCCCACCTCCCTCTCCACCTCCACAGGCCGGTGTGATTTGACGTCTGAAAGAACTTAATTTTCTCATGACAACGGATTTGTTCTGTATCCATGACAAAAATGAAACAGTTGGTATTTTTTCTTTCTTCTTTTAATCTCGGAGGTTACGGCCGACGTGAATGGGGTTAATTAGTCTCAGAGTTTAATGTCAAATCTGCAGTTTCGGCTTCTAAACAGTCACGTGTGAGGATTTCTTGAGGGATCAGATTCTATGAAAATGAAACTTTTCTTCTTGAAGTAAAACAAAAGAAAATGCATCTTGAACCTCATCCTCCTTCCTGCTGCGTTGAAACAAGCTGCTCTGTCAGAGAAATAAAAGAAGGAGAAACTTTAAACTTGGCTCCTCAACATGTCGTCTTTTGTTCTGTGCAGATTCCAGGCAGAACAGTTTGCTGGGAGCGCCTCCCTCCTCGTACCAGTCCCAGTATCCAAGGTGAGTCGACAGGTTTGTTTCAAGTTCACGGTTAACGTGTCAACATTCACCTCTGAGGTTCAGCTCCTCGTGTGAGATGTTGGAAATAAACACAGATTTTAAATTATATCAGTTAACTTGTTGAATTTATCGTATAAATGTCGTTTTTTTAATGAAACTCAGCCTCTTTCCCTCCGTTTCCTTCTGCTATGTGTCTTTTGACGACGGCAGGTAGAGCTCCTGTGAATTAAACATGTCGAGAAGCTGCTCTGTGGTTATTTTAGCTCATCTCCATTTAAATCCCTCCACAGATTTCCTGCCTTTTTACTCGAGCACTCTGCCTTCCTCTGTCGAGAGGCTTTACTGCCGCCACCGCTGCTGAATTAAGATTTTTCCCTGTCGCTTTAAAGCAGATTTCTCTCGAGGAGGTTTGTGCAACTTAATGAGGCAGCACTAATGCTGTCGGAGGCTGCGGCGTTAACCGCCCGGCGGCCGCGGAGTCCGCACAGACCAGCCATTGATTGTGGCTCCAGGCCTCTACAAAGTCCTAATCAGGTTCTGTGGTTCAACTTTTCAGGCCCATTGTGGCTCCGTGTCACCTCAGGTCAGTAGTTATTAGCAGCGACTGAACACAGTTTCTTTAGCAGCTCAGGAGCGGAGCAGATGAAATGCAGGAGGAACTTGGAGAGTGGGGATTATGGATTCCAGCGCTCGGTTAAGTCCGGCTCTGGTCCGAGTGTGACATGGTTCAGTAATGAGGGATGGGGCGGCCGCTCTCGCTTCTTTGTTACCGAGAAGAGACTTTTAATATCAGCGTTGGGTTGACACATTGTCCGGTGGCGGTTTGGAGGGCCTCTGCGCGTCGGCTCAACGCCGGCTCCCACGGACGCAGCGCGCCCGTCTCATTTGAGGGACGAGGGTGATCCCGAACATATGTGAATATGGTTCATTTCATACTCTGCTCTTTGATGTGCGTGGACGAGCGCTCATCTCTGAGGAGAGGACGTTTTATCTCTTTGAGAGTTCGATCCCTCGGCAAACGCAAGTCGATGGGGATTTTAGGGAGGTCACCTCGGAGCAGAATGAAGAGCCACTTCAGGAAGTTCCACATTTTTATCTCCAGTTTGTTTTGAATCTGAACTCAGAAACTAAATAAAACTTTTTGATTTTATTTTTTTAAAACAAACAAAAGCTCGGAACAGATGAAAAATTGAATAATTTTAATGAAGTGAATTAAAGTTAAACACTTCCTGATTTAAATAAATCACACTGAATGTTTTTATTCTTTTTTTTTTTACAGTTTATTATAATGATTTTTTTAAATTTCAATTTATTTTCTGATTGTTTCAAGAAATAGATTTTAAAATTCTCAGTTTCCAAAAACAAGACAAATTCTTTTTTTGATATAAAGAAACATACGTTTATTAATTTAGCAAATAATTAGTCGATTAACAAAAATGATCGGCAGCTTCTCTGAAAATCATTTTGGGTTATTTTTTATTTAAGCTTCTCATTTATTCAAGAAGCTTAAATAAAAAATAACTCTAAATTATATTTTCTAGTTTCCACAGTTTTCAATGATCAGTATTTTTGGGTTTGAGTCTGTTTATCGTGATCATTTAAAACTTTTCTAACAATCATTGATCAAACTATTAATGATTCATCAAATGTTCTATTGATAATAATAATAATAATAATAGGAGACAACTTTAGTTGTTAAAACTCTTGAAATCAAAGCCACAGTCAGAGAAAGAGGATCTCAGTGTTTTTATTGTTTTGGTTCAAAACAGCAGAAACAACAAGATTTAGATCCAGATCATTTTTTTCTTTTCACTAAGTGATTGTTGGGATTTTCTTTGTTTTGTGAGAAACTTATTTATTTATTTATTTCCTTCACAATAAATGATTTTAAGATCATAACTTGAAAATAGAGTTTTTATTGTTATTATTATTTTCTTGACAACAGTTTAAGATTTTGAATTAAAGCAAACAGAGTAAAAATGTAATAAACTTTGATGAAGCTGTTTAATGACTTCAACTTGACACTGCAACGCTTTGATTCTCTGTTTCTTAACGAGAGCCTGATTGACTGTGATGTTTCACTTTGAAGATCAGCTTCTTGTCTCCATATCTTTAAATCCACTTCAGACCCAAACTCGGCCTGAGGCTCAAAGAACGGGAAGTTTTTTTGAAAACATGTTTCAGGACCTTGAGTCGCTGCTTCTCTGAGTCGTGACGGGTTTGATGTGTTCTCGTCTCCAGGAACCAGCAGCAGCAGCAGCAGCAGCAGTCGTACAGTGGAGGCGGGGGGGGTCATGGCTGGGATCGGAATATGCAGTCACAGCAGTCGGCGTACCAGCAGAACATGAACCGCGGGCGGGGAGGCGGCGGCGGCAGCGGCCAGGGCAGCTACCAGCAGCAGTACGATAATCGCAGAGAGGACTGGCAGGATCGCAGGAACAACTGGGGGCAACAGCAACAGGTACAGAACTTCACCTCTGTCACTTCCTCTGACGTCACAACTGTGGGTTCCAATATGAAAACATGGCTACGTGGGCGGAGCTAGGGTTTCTGATTGGTCAGGTTGTAATTTTACAACTAAAAGTTTCGTAAAAACGACTTAAGAACTTCAGTTCTTCAGAAAAAGTCTTTTAACTTCCTGTTGGGTTTTATTTCTCAAGCTGTCCATCATGAAACACAAGCCTCCGATTGGTTGTCGATTCCTGATGTCACAGAAAATGTGAATTTTCACTTCGTCTTGTGTTTTTGGAGATTAATTAATTAATTAATTAATTAATTTAGGGATTGTAAAAATAAAACAAAAGGCCTGGAAACGACCAACGATTTAAAACGTGAAGCTGAACCAACAAATATTACATTTCATAAACGTCTCAAACGATAAATCTTCTGTCACAAAATCCTTCATCTGCAAAAATGATTTTGGTGTTTGTGAATATGAAGAGGCAGAATTTTTATTTGTATTAGACACAGAAACTCCAATAAAACCCAACAGAGTCTTTTAACCACATGTACTCGTCCTTTCATACTTTGATTTTGAAACGCAGATTATTTAGCATTTTGTCAACTTTCAAAACTTTCCCTGGTTTTGTTTCCTCAGTTAGAAGATTCATCATTTGAGTTCGTGTCAGATTCTTCATTCTGCAAACGAACGGTTCCACACATTAATCTGAACTCGTGTGTTTCTCTTCGGTTCGGACTCAGAATAAACTTCAGACGTTTCAGTTTAATTTAATCTAAAACTTCTGAATCCGTTTTTAATTTTATCATTGAAACCTGTGGTGCAGACGCATTAAAGGGTCAGTTCACAGTTTCAGAACAGCTCGTCTCTATCCGTCTGCTGAGTTTTATTTTGTCTTTTAGCAGCAGCGTCGATGTTCCTCTGAATTATCCACAGACGTATTTATTCAGTGTTTTCAATCAGTGCTATTTAATTTAGTTTGCTTCCTTTTCTTTTTTGGTTTGTATTTTTTTATTTATTTATTTATTTTGTACTGAAGCTGCTTCCAAACACATTCTCTAAATAGGATTTAAGTTTTTCTTCATGTTTTAATGTCTGAATTCATGAAACTCACTTGAGGCATGAAAAGTTTGGAAATGAATAAAGCCACAAAAAAAAATTTTTTCCTTTGAGAGCAGAAAAAAATATTGGTAATTTAAATTCTTGTGTTTTTAGGCCATGGATTTAAATATTTGGATATTAAAATACATTGGACATATGAAATCCGTCCTGCAACAACTCAAATGAAATAAAATTAATTTTCTCTTTCTAATAAACGTATAAAACTTTTTTATTTATCATCATGTGGAGCGGTTTATTATTCAACGGCTGAATTTCTCTAACTTTCTTGTTTTTGTGTTTCAGGGCCAAGGCTCCGGCAGAGGTTACCCTCCCCCTCCTCCCTCCAGAAGACAAAACTGGAATTAGATATAGGAATAACGATGGACTGTGACGGGGCGGGGACGGGAACATTTTTAGGAGAACTTTTTTTTTTCGTTTTATTGACTTGTACAATTGTTTTTCTGTTTTCTTTTTATTCTACTTTCAAAAACAACTTGTTGTGTAACTTGTGATTTTTAAGGTAAACCACATGTAAAACCTAATACAAGTGAGTCGAGGACAAAGTGTCCTGCTGTGTTTAATTTTGAGAGAAATCTCCAAACAGTCCATGTGTTTTACCAAGAGATAAAAAAAAAAACCTGATGAAATAAAAGAACAACATGATGAAGGGATTTTATTTGTTTAGCAAAATAAGCTGTTTTAATTCTAAAAGAGAGAAACTCAGATTTAAATCAATCTCTTTAGATTTTTTACAAGTTTAACTGCAGCAGATTTTACTTCAGGATATTTGAGGCCTTTTGTAATTCTGGGTTGAAAATCATCATCTATCCAAACCTCGTGTTTTCAGACGATGTCCCTCTGCAAACTTTCTGTCTCTCCTTCAAACCAACTTTAAAAACATCAAAACAAGTTTTCAAACCTTTCAATTCCACATATTCAAAAAACGATGAAAAGTTCAAAATGAAAATATCTTTTATTCAAAACGAAATCAGCTGCAAACAAAGAATATTTCATGACTTTGACTTTGGACCAAAACTCCACTGGATTATTTCGAATGGACAAACAGCCGCTGACTGTTTTGTTTTTAAATCGGCTTCTATCGCGTCACTTCGTATTGACTCCACATATAAACCTGCAATAATTTATTTCTCTGTAGGAAGGGTTCACATCCCGAGTGTCCTCAGATCAGATGGTTTAGTTTTTATAAAAAAGACAAAGAGAAAATCATCAGCAACATTCAGATCAGTCTCTAATTACACTTGATTTCGCACCGTGTCCTCTGAGTCCCAACAGAACCGCAGCTTCACGCACGGAAAGAAAAAGTCTCTTCTCCAAAGAATCCAGTCCGGGGAATGTCCCTCACAGGCCCGATCCCGCTCGTCCTCCTCCCGGTGTCCTCCTCCCGGTGTCCACCTCCCGGTGTCCCTACCAAGTTCTCCCGTACAGTAAATTGGAGCCGATCATGCTGTTGGTGTATTCAATGAGCGCCGCGTCCGTTTGCGTCATGTTCATCTGACCGTGAAGTCCCATCGGAGGACTGGGGGACAAGTCCTCCAGCTCCTCTGTGGACGACATGTGGTTCATCTGCTGCTGCTGCTGCGGGGTCGGTGTGATCACCTCCCGCGAGCTGCGCTGTCGGTTCCCGGTCTGGTTGGAGCCGTCGGAGTCGGTGCGGCAGCTCTTACCGGTCTTGGACAGAACCGGGGACACGGAGGAGGAGGAGCGGCGCGTCGATGAGCAAAGTCCGCCGCCGCCGCCTCCTCCTCCCGCGTCCGGCTGCACGGCCTTGTCCTTGGACTGTCGCTTGAGTTTGTATCGGTGGTTCTGGAACCAGATCTTCACCTGGTTCGGGGAGAGGTGGATCAGCCCGGCCAGGTGCTCCCTCTCCGGGGCGGACAGGTACTTCTGCTGCTTGAAGCGTCGCTCCAGCTCGAACACCTGCGCCTGAGAGAAGAGCACCCGCCGCTTCCTGCGCGGCGCCGCGTGCAGCGCCACCACGGACTTGGCCGACGGGTCCATCCCGGCCAGAGAGCCCACCATCCCGGACATGTTCATCCCGCCGGAGGGGCCCATGAATCTGGAAACTTAGGGGAGAAATGATTAATAATAAAAATCTCATAATGTAACTGAGTTTTTCATCAAAACATTTAGAAACCACGTCCTCGTGTTTCAATTAATTGATTTAAAGAAAATGACAGACGTAGAAAATATTGAAATTTAAAACTAAACCACCTGAAAGTTTTTTATTTTCCAATCACAACAACCAAATATGAATCGGCCTAAAGAAAGTGAATTCAAATTCAACACGAAGTTAAAATCCCTGTTGTACATTATTCAGTTTCGATAAATAACATCTAACTTAGTTTTTGTTCGTTAGATAATTAAAATATAAATGTTTTAAAGTCAAAGTTGTGAACTGTTCAAAGTGTCCGGAGTCACCAGAGGAACATCTCAGTCCCTCCGATGGAAATTTAGTTGCAGAAAAATAAAATCAGGAAACTTTATTCATTTGACTGTTAACGATCAAACTTTGTATTTTAAGCTTCTCGGTATTTTCTCCATCGTGTGTAGAAGCAGGAGGCCGAACCGTCCAGACCACACTTCCCCCGGGCATCGAACCTGTGTCACATTAGAGTGGAAGCTCGGACTCTTACTCGTCGGGTATCTTGGCTCCGGGTTACTGTACCACGCCGCCGCTCCTCCGCCTCTCACCGTGTCCTGGTACGACGGAAGCTCGCCCACGTTCCCGATGCCGCCGTTACAGAATCCTCCGACGGGCCCGGAGAACTGCGGGACCCCGTGGGGCACGTGGTAGGGCCCGCCGGGTCCCAGGGCGGCTGCAGCGGGGGCCGAGGCTGAGGAAGAGGAGGAGGAGGATGAAGATGAGGACATGTGGTGATGATGGTGGTGGTGGTGATGCTGGTGGACATGAGGTGGCTGATGCTGCTGCGGCTGGTGCTGATGCTGCGTACCGGGCTGGGAGACCTGCGGCTGCCTGTAGGCGCCCAGCGGGGACCCGAGGCTCCCCGCGGCGGGATCCATGCCTCCGAACCTCCGGTAGCTGTCCTCCATCGGGCTCAGAATGTCGGTGACTGAGAAGGGGGTGGAGTGCTTTGGGCTGAAGGACATGGTGCGGCCACACCGGGCCCTCTGCTGCGCTGCTCCGGCTGGCTGTGCTCGGGTCGCTCCGGCGCTTCTCTGCCTGCGTCCCCCTCCCTCCCTCCGGCTTCTTGCCTCCTCTGCGTCCCTGAAGGAGTCCAGCTGATCGGCTGCAGGAGGAGCGGAGCTGCCCTTATCGCGCCGGACTCACACACGAGGGGCGGAGCGACGCGGACAATGACAGTTGACATGAGAGGAGACTGTTCGGATCTACTTTCTGCTGCCGCCGCTGCTGGGAGTGTGTGACCCGGAGAGAGAGAGAGAGAGAGGGAGAGAGAGAGGGAGAGAGAGAGATCCAGATTCCTTCAGACTGAGAATCACATGTTCCACACATCACAATAACAACACATTAAAATATCACATCACAATAACAACACAATAACTTCAACACAATTAAAATAACTTGACCACACAATAACTCTCTGAAATCACATCATCGATCACAACCTTCATCATGTTTTTAATCTGCTCTTCTTCATCACTGAGACTTTCTAACCAGCTCACAGACTTTAGTGGTGCGCGTGCGTGTGTGCGCGCGCTGGTCTGTTGTCTCACTTTCATTTCCACGTGAATGGATCTAACTGTCTGTGTGACGTCAGGCTTCAGCTGCAGCTTTGAGTTTTGTTGGAAACTTCGGTTTAAAGTTTCAATGTTAAAGTGTTTTCAGTGATGACGTCAGGTTCATTCATGAATCACAAAGTTCTAAAGATCAGATCAAACGAGAAATCAAAGTCAAAACATCAGAAAGAAGAAAGAGCTGCTGATGACATCATCATTCATGATTTTACTCATTTCAAAAATATTTAGTGCTGAGAATATTTTCT